GAGAGAGAGAGAGAGAGAGAGAGAGAGAGAGAGAGAGAGAGAGATGGGAAGCGGGATAGTGGCGCGGCATAACTAAGTTGTACTCATCCCAACACACAAAATGCACCTGGTCGCTCAGACATCCAGGTACATTCCCACGTGGGCACAATCCTGCCACTGCAAATCATCAAAATCAGCAAGACATATATAAAAATCACTCATTCATTTGTAAGTGATTCTCTCGGAATACTCGAGAGGAATGTATGTGGCCCACTCTACTCACCAGGTGCAGCGAAGATATGAGGTATGATGTATTTGACCTACTCTACCCACCGAGTGCACTGAAGATACGAGTTATGTAATAGGCCGGCTCTACTCACCAGGTGCAGTGAAGATAAGATCTCGACTTCCATTTCACGAGATACTCAACATCTTCGAGTGAATTATTGGATCCTGCGGTCCTGGACGCATCTTCTCCCGCCGGCGTCAGCGCCCGTTCCTCCACTTTCAAGGAGTCCCCCACCGGTGCCGCTGCCGCTGCCATGTCCTTCTTCGACACATCCTCTCCCAACACCGTCGCCGTCGACTGCTGCTCCTTTGGTTCACGCTCTCCCACCGACATCGGCGCTAAGTCCTTCTCATCCTTCGACGCGGTAGCATTTACGCCGCCTGCTGCCGGCGCTTCCGCCGATTCCCCCTTCACTTCTGAAGCTTCCTTTGTGCAGCCATCAGCACCTGCTTCGCCCTCACCCCCGCCACCATCCGATGACTTTTCACACCTTTCGGACTTTTCCGAGGTCTTTTCGGACTTTTCTACTCTCCTCCAGTCCACCAGCTTGTCGACGTCAGCCAGAGGATCTTGCTGTAGCGCAATTGCCGCCGAGGATGACGGGAGGAATAAACAGTTGTAAGGAACAAGACTCAGGTCAGTTCAACAGTTGAACAGCGATATTACATTCCATACTTTTGAATCAATGGATTTAAATTTATAATAATAATAATAATTAGATCACACTGACACTAGGCCCTCAAAATCGCAAAATCACGAAATGAGCGGGGCAGATCTGGTCTTTCTCAGGGCACAGTGTGAGTATGCTCTTAGTGATATTCAAAAGAGCTTATTCGCTAAATTACCGTCAAATACACACTGTGGGAACAATGCAGTGTTCATTGCCGAGCAAGAGTCCATTCCGTCAAGCAATCCACTAAGCCCATGCAATGAGCTTGTTCCGCTATGGGAAAGCCCCAGTGGGAAAGTCCCACTTATTTGATGGAGCTCTGGACGTAATGGTAGTCCAAATCCATCCAATATAGCCACAACAGGCCGGAATTGCGGTCAAATACATCTGGGGAAGCTCCACTACAAGGATGCTCTAAGCGGGCACATTGCAGTGTTCATTGCTTTAGTTAGTTTAAAAAAAAAAAAAAAAAAAAAAAAAGGACCAATTTTCTCAATCCCTGCCTGCTGCAGTCTCACCATGTTAAAACTTAAAATGTATTTCTGAAAGGAAAAAAAAAACTTGGATATTAAGTTCAAAAAACGAAACTAAGGGGGAAAAAAAAGAAGAATACATGTACTCCATTGCCATTTCAGCACAGTGGATCTACCCAGTAATAACAGATCGCTTTGTTTTCCGAGAGAGGAAAAACAAGATACTCGGGGAGTAATGCAAGGAATATGAGTGTGAACGATATACAGAAAACCAAGTTGTGAAATCACACAAATGTCCAAGTAGTCGTGTCCAAGCAGAGAGTGCAAATGCACAGAGAAAACCATCCATATAGAGCAATACAATGAAGTAATGAGTCAACGTCCAAGCCCGTAGGCCACACCAACACAGTATCCGAAGTCGCTCCTCTCTGTCTGGCGCCCAGCGCCCAGCCAACTCTACCCGACTATCCTACCTACATCTGGTTCACGCAACAGGCTCACTTCGACTCTCGAAGACCAATGTACATGACTGTCAACACCATTGCCGACCTCTCGTCATGCACCAGGTACGTATCCCGTCACCCTCAATCAGACCTTGATTACCCCACACTGCGCCTCCTTCCCTGAAGACCACCTGATCGCCCTGCTATCCCCTGGCGCCCAGAAGCCTGGCTATGGCTGCCTGCGCCCCGCTGCCCTGCAGCGCCCACTTCTTTTATGGGCGAAGAGGACGCTGGCCAGAATGCCTGGCCTGGGCTGCCTCACTTCTTTTATGGACGTGGCAGCCTCCTGGATGCTGCGTGTGGCCTGGCTGGAAGCTTCCAGTAGCTTCCGGTTGGGTCTCAGACCCTGCCCCCAGGCCCAAGACTACAGATGAGGGCCTGGGCCCTTTTCAGTTGGGCATGGCCTGAGTCTCCTGACTTGGGCTGTTTGCTGCATCTGTGCAGGGCTCCCAGGCAGCTGCGTCGGCAGTACTGCTTTTCCAAAGGCCGATGGCCTGCTTCCCCATGTATCAGCCCTGCTTTGTGAGTATGTGCCCAGGAGCAACAGTCAAGGCCTGGGCCAACTGTATGATGCAGCTTAGTGAGGCTCACGCATCTACCCAACCAACTGGCGTGCTGCGAGAGCCTGAATACCCACATATGGACATGTCGAATTTTGGCCTCTGATGAATATTCAGGCCCGCCTTCACTTAGGGCGGGCACTCGGCTTGCTGGGTGCCTTAGCCCAGAACATGTAATGTCTGATAGGGCCCCTTGAGGGCTTGTTCCTCAAAGTTAAAAAAAAAAAAAAAAAAAAAAAAAAAGGAAGAGAGCCCCATTCTCTGCCCTATTCACCTGTCATGTATGGATTGAAAAAAAAAGGTGACGGACTTCCAATGGGAACAAATAGAGGAGTAAATGCCCTTATTTACCCGTGGGTAAGAAGGGTGCTGGGTATCCAATGAGGGTTCACTGAGAGTCTAATGGGGATCCAATAGGTTCTAATGGGGGGTCCCATGGGGGGTCCCATGGGGGATCCCATGTGGATAAATTGCCATCGCCCCATGAACACGCTTATTGAACTGACATCTTCCGCTACTCATCTCAAATGACGCTTGGTCAACGCAGCCCTAAGGTTTTATTCAGTCAACGCCGCTCCTTTTGGAACATAGTCGACACCCCTCCCCACACACTTCTTTCTCTCCACCACTGACACTTTCGCTACTCATCTCAAATGATGCTTGGTAAACGCAGCCCTTAAGGTTTTATTCAGTCAACGCCACCCCTTTTAAAACATAACAGCGAGGAAACCGGGGTAACTTGGGGATGAGCAGAACCAGAACTCTCTCGGATGCATAGGATGTACTGGAACAACTTGTGGATGTGCGGAGCAATATTTTCCTGGACGTATCAGACCACATTTGTGGCCGAATTCAGTACAAAGATTCCAAAACCATCCTCTACTCCTCTGAGTACGCCCTAAGGACATCAGAAACCCATCCTCTACTCCTCCGAGTACGCCCTAAGGAAATCAGAAACTCATCTCAGATGAATTGCAGAGAGGCTCAACCAAATGATGAGACGACACTCGCTGTCATGTCCTTCGGAACATTCGTTAAAAAAGCACACCCAGTACACCATACATCCGCCCGCAGGTGTCAGCATGAAACCCGCACCACTTCGTAGGCCGCTGACCTTTTCTGTTTTCAACGGCACCCCGCACCGCGCGGCCCCTCCGTGTTTCGCTTGTGGCGACTAAAACTTTCTCCAAGGCTGTCCAAATTAAACCAAAAACAAAAGAAAAAACAAAAAAAAGCTCGATGTCGAAGAGAGCAGAGCACAGAGCTCGACAAGCAAAAGCAATTGACATCAGCTTGACAGCGCTAGGCATCACAAGAAGTACAGCTCGGAACCCTCGACGCAGCAGAGCACAAGAGAGGGTGAGAAGATCTCTGAGGGCGACCTATCTTCACCCCGAATAAAACACCGGGTCATTATAGCTGCCCTGTATGTGGGCCAACTGCCCGTCTAGACACAGCAATAAAATAATGACCATGCGTTGTATTCGCCAGAAGACGGTCGAGAGGGTCATTTATCAGATGATGACACAAGACAGGTCCGTCAGCAAAGAGATTTCGGAGGACCACAGATAGGGTCAGAAAATCACAGAGGACTGGAGCGGGGTAGATCTCACAAGACGGTGCAAAAAAAAATCATACAATAAATACAACAGAAATCAATCGTACAATAAATCGATCTATCTATTGTCTTTTTCAAGAAATCAATGAATTGTCATTACTCAATTATTGACGACTATTCTAATTTGTTTTTATCTGGCACATACGATATATGTACGAGGGACGAAGATGCGTGATTTTCAACATATCTTCTTGTAGCGGATCCGTCTTGCTGAACCCGTCAGGGGTCTACCAATGAGCCTAGCTCAGTTGGTACACCCTTCCGTCTGATTTTATCTGGGTTCGAACTTGGGGTCTGATTTTACAGACCCCAAGTTCGAACCCAGATAAAATCAGACGAACAGAATAAAGTAGTTCCGAATGACCTTTCTTTTATTTTTTATAATAATAATTATTATTTTATAATAATTATTGTAAGGAAACTTGGGCCGGTCAGTTGGATGAATGATATCTCAAGGCTGTCGCCCTTTCTTTTATTTTATGATAATAATTATTATTATTATATATATAAAAAAAAACACGTCAGATCTCAGAGAATAGAAGAGGGTCAGGAGATCTGAGAGGAGGAGAGAGGGTCAAGGTCAGGGTCAGGGTCGGGCTCGGGGTCACGGTCACCGTCAGATGCTGATACTTACACAAGTGGGACAACTCCATTTTCCCTTTGGAACACGCTTCAATGGCGGGTCCAAGCACGCAAGATGGTGTGAAGCGGTACACGTGTCACAGCACAAAAGAGTTCCCCCGACCCCGCAAGTCGTGCAGACATCCTCATTCTGCCACATGCATCCAAACAGAGAAACGGAGCCATCAAATCACGGCAAAGATAGCCGGTGTGTGTGTGTGTGTGTGTGTGTGTGTGTGTGTGTGTGTGTGTGTGTGTGTGTTGTCACGTTCTACGAACAGACTGTTCGCTAAAGTCGAAACATTTTGGCCACAAGTGTGGTGTTAAAGCACCCCAAATTCTCTCTCATTTCCTCTGACAGATCATGACAAAAATCCATTTCCATAACAGAAAAGTATAGATAGCTAATATAATAGAAAATGACAGGTTGGCCACGTTAGTGTATGTGTGTGTGTGAGATCCAGCGGACTAGCTGAGTTGGTAAGGCACCCAAGTGGCATTCAGGAGGTCTTGGGTACAATCCCCATTGGACTCATGTACCTTCCTGGACAAGCTTGGCGCCCGCCACCTAGAGATATGCCGCCGTTGGCCCCCCCGAGTGGCATTGAACAGAGACTGCTGATGTTCATAGGGGGAGGAGACCAGAGGGGAGGCACAGCGTGACTGGCCCATCGAAGAAGCTCGGTCCTGATGCTACCGGCTGACCCCTGGCCGGTATCGCCCACCTGCCGCTGTAGCAGGTATCGCACCTGCTGGTGGGTGCAACTCCCTCATGTTCCCTCGTTGGAGGCTTGAGCACGGATGTGTCATCCGTGCTCAAGGCTGCCACGGGGTTCCCCGCAATACTATAATGACAATAAAAAAGGCCTGAAAGGCCATCATCCTGTCCAGATTCGACAGGTAATTGAATTCAATAACGAGTTCTTTGCCTCTTTTCGTATGTTCTTTTATTTTTTCTTTCAAAAATTTGGTGCCGATAATTTAGTTTAGCGTTCATGCAATCGCCTGCACTGGAGTCTGGTCCCACCTACAGCGTTGACTTCTTCTCAACGCTGAGCTTTCTATCACGTGTGGCATGGTGGGACGGAGCTCTGCCGTTGATGTATGGCGATCTAATGGTACCGAAATACAGGAGAATAACCTATTAGATTTTGTCATTTCGTAGAATTTTTCTTTGACGTGAAATCTGTTTTCTAGTATGCTTTGGCCCTTTTGGTTTGGGCCGGAAACCATTTTCCATTGAGAAAACTACCCTACCGAGGGTAGGGTACATTTCTCAACTGCAGTGCCTTTCCTAGTTTTTGGTTTTTTAGACATCATTACATCCTGAAACGGAGGAACTCTGACAGCTGTGTTGGGCTGTCTGGCATCAAACTCCTTTCCTTCTTTGGGCAATGAATGCATTTGGCCATCCACGTTGTCCCTGTCCATTTTACAAATGGTGACCTCCTGTCCCCTCACCACGGGGAGTATCCCTTTTTCACGGAGACATTCACTCCGACTGTTCCAGACATGTTTCATTTCTCCGAGTTTCGTTATACAAAATAAGGAGAAAAGCTGTTTCTAGCGTTTTCTTTCAGTTTTTTAATTTCTTGTTTCAAATTTATTAATGTCGAAATGGCGTCACACCGTTCAGTTTTTTAACTTCTTGTTTCAAATTTATTAATGTCGAAATGGCGTCACACCGTTAAGTTTTCTGAACTCAACAACGGTAGGTGGGATCAGACCCCTGGAAGGGGAAAAGAATGACCACCAAAAAAAAAAAAAAAAAAACCTTGTTCAATTTCATCGCACAAGCAAAATATTTCAAAATTTAACGAAAGCGTTGAAAAGTGAGTTTACAACATTACATGCCTCAACTCCACAAAACAAGCATGACTGTGTGCCAGACTGTTTTGTCGGACTTTTACTATGGTTGCGATCGGGGCGTCCGGACTACAGTGCAGAGATTCTGGGTCTGGATGTCCGGGTCTGGTGTCTGGAGCAGAGTGTTGGGATCCATTCCCCCCACCCCCAACCCGAAAGAAAAAAAACGACTTCAAAAAAAATCAAGAAACTCAAAAAATGCTGAAAGAGAAGATATGTTATGCAGCATTACAAATTTGCAATACAAAAACCTTTTGGCTGAGAGGAAGCATGTCGAAGTTCGTAGCCAAATCCAAGGGGGGAAAAAAAAAAAAAAAAAAAACTTCTTTTCTTTTTTTTTACAAAAGGGGGTTTTCCAATCCGGACGGTCTGGAGCAGTCCAGCCACAGGTTCGGCCGAACGTCTGGACTGGCCGATGTCCAGGTCCGGCGCAACCATGCATAGATTTTTACCGACTCGTTAGGAGGCGGCGGTGTGTGTTGTTATCTTCACTATATTCACACTAACTCCACAAAGAAAAGCATGACTGTGGCAGACGATTTTGTAGGACTCTTCCACCGACTAATCAATCAGGAGGTCGAACCCCGACAGACAGTGTGCCCAGGATGCATTTGACTGACTGATGAATAATAAGGAGACACACCGCACCGTGTCGCCCGGAGTTAGCGATACCCACCCTTGAGCGAGAAAAGTGGTGGACCACGCACGCCAACCCACACCCTGCAATCCTAGCCGACTGTCAGTTCAAACCCCTGACAAGAATGGCGGCAGGTCTGACAAACTGATCTGACACAGCCATAAATGTGCCGGCTGTCGATTCAATAAAACCCCTCACATTCGCTATACGCAACTCAACAAAGAAAAGCATGACTGTGCCAGACTGATACGTCGGACTTTCACCGACTCATCAGGCAGGAGGCTGAATCTGGAACTTGTCCCACATCTCAGCCAATCAATTTTAATGTCTTGTACACCAACAACGAATCAGAGGCAGAGGCCAGTTTTCCATAGCTCACCAGACCAGACCAGACCTACCTCATCTGCTTGCGAGTCGTCATCACCTTCCCATTCCAAATCTTCAAGCACGTAATCGTCGCCAAGTCCCGCAATTTCAAAATAGGAGCGTCGGGATGTCAACCCTGCTCTCCTTCGCGGTCTCCCTGCTGCTGCATCCTGCTGACCTGCACCAGCTTGGCCGTTCTGTGTAACAAAATACCCCGATATCAGGAGCAAAATGATTATCATATCTACATAAATTATAGTAATTACAATTATTACATAAATTTTAGTAAAAATTATAGTAATCAGGTTTGCCAGGCCGAACGTACGGAGGCCCCACAGCTGACCCCCGAACGGCCGAACGCGTCGAGGAGGGGTGCCGAACGTTCGGGCGTTTGGGTTCGGGCGTTCGGCCCATCCCGAACGCCGGCAACCCTGATAGTAATTACATAAGTTATAGTAAAAATTATCGTAAAAATTATATTAATTACATAAATTATAGTAAAAAATTATAGTAAAAATTATAGTCATTACATAAATTATAGTAAAAATTAAGTAATTACATATATATGTAAATAGGAGTCTGTATTTACTCCTAAAGCTTGAAAAAAAAAATAAAAAAAATCCAAGAACTCCAATACATATCATAGATCGGGGTCGCGACTTGTGTGTTTTCCCGCCCTCTGAACGACACGTTATAGTTTCCCATCATACGGATGATGGGCTCCCTGCCACGAATCATCGTTCGATCAATCATGGATAATGTTCTCGATAAAGTACCGTCTTCCCCCGAACATAACGCACACTGAAAATGAGCGTATGCAAGGCATGTTTCCCGCCCGATACAGTCAAAACGAGGGTGTGTTGTGTTCGGGGGAAGACAGTAGTAGGTTTATATATAGGACCACGCAGGAAAGATCGGCTCGATAAAGTCCTAATGCGCCCTTTTGCCCTCTTACTGCGAGTTCACAACGCTCCAAAACGATGATCGTGAATGTACAATGACAATAATCACGTCCACATTCCGTGGATAAAGTGTGCAGTTGTTCATGAACACATTCACGCGATGGCAAAATGAAGGCATCAGACAGAACACAAAAAAAAAAAGCGCCAGCTTCAAGAAAAACATCATTATTCCCGCCAAAAAAATATTTGCGAATGTACAATGACGGTAATTACGTCCACATTCGTTGGATATAATTCAGCACTGAGGAACGGGGTGAGGAGCGCATGCATATAACCCCCTCAGTCATCAAGTGAAGACCTGACAAAATAATCGAACGGTTGAAAATTGCATGCATGCCTCTGCACTTTAGCAGATTTGCGCAAATACCCCTCTCTCTCAGAATGCAGCTCTGGAGGGCCACACGCACACAAGTCTCTGAATTTGCGCGTAACTAACACAGATACCTGTTACTAGGGCACAGTCCACTACAGGTAGGGACTTTTTTGACCTGAACGTGGCCTCAATTACAATCAGGTACATCCAGAGAAGGCTTTTGACTTGAACGTGGCCTCAATTACAATTAGGTTCAGACTGAGGAAGGCCCACCTCAGTGTAGTGTAAGCTCTGGAGGGCCACACGCGCCCGTATGCTGCTGAATTTGCACGCATTTGCATAAATACCCCTCTCTGGGCACACCCACTCTAGCACCTTTCATCTGAACATGGCCTTAATTGCGATCAGGTACATCCAGAAAAGGCCTAGTGTAAGTACACCTCCAGCATTGCAACTCTGGAGGGCCACACGTCCACGTACCCTCCGGACTCTATAGCGTATTTATGCAAATACCCTTCTCTGAGGCCATACTCACACCAGGACTTCGCAGGACGTATGTGACCGCAATTCCGGCTACTGCTCGACAGATGTATCTGGCCATAATTACGTCCAGAGAGACCAGTCGTCGAAGTATGAATGTGCGCACGCCCTCAGAATGCACCTGGATGCCTGCATGTATACGTATGTATCTCCGATGAGTCAAGCTTTTTTTGCGTATTTGCGCAAATATCCCTCTCAGTAAGGGGGCATACTCACAACAACACCACTTTGCTAAATGTATTATATCTGACTGCAGTTACAGACAGACCTGGATGCATCTGACCGCAATCACGTCCAGAGAGCTCAGTCAAAAAGTCCCCTACTTCGAGAATGGCCTCGGGATGCACCTGGATGCCCACATGTGCACGTATGTATGTCTCCGAAGAGTCAAGTTTTTTTTTTGCATATTTGCGCAAATACCCCTCTCTCAGTCAGGGCATACTCACAATACCACTTTTTTTCTAATAGTATCTAACTGTGCAAGGAAGATGAGCATTAGCGAACTTCAGCAATCAAACAGCATCATACATATGAGCCCAGATAGTCTTGACCTCGAACCACAGCAGACTGGCATCACGAGATACACCAAATAAGAACACACCAAGAGTTCAAAATTGACAATGCTGAAGTAGTCCCATCATCATCAACTACGAACCAGAGTTGATATCCTATTGGCGCTCAGCGCCCAGACTACAGGTGGCAGATCCTATCTAACCTATACTACGAAGCAGAATGATGACATCAACAGCGTTCCCGAAGTACGAGCATATGGCGAC